GCTGGTGACTAGGGCGACGTTTTGATTGGCTGAAAGCTTGACAGCGCTGGATGAAAAGTTTAAGTCTCATTTTGCTGGGGACCTAGGTCGACTTAGTAGTTACAAAGATAGCATTTGATCGATTTGATAATACTCAGCTGCAGTTTTGCTATTATATGAATAGGGAACCGCCCCCCCTTCCGGTTGGAGGCCCGGGTCATCTGCTCGAGTGGACTAGCCGTGATCACTAGTCAGTAAATATCCCTATCATGAATCATTGTAGTCGATAGGAATCTGTTTAGTGCTCGTGGTTGGTCGGTAAACAGACTCAGCCTTAGGTAGTCTCTCTCACAAGTGATCTATAGTGAAATTCAGTATATATAAACTCACTGAATACATCAGCCTTTTACTTCGACGTGCTCAAACTCTTGTCTCAGCTGTTCCATCCGCGTTTCCTCCTCTCGCTCTTGGGCCTCCCTAGTCTCCTGCCGCATCTTCTCTATATCCCAACCATCCGAGTCATCTCCTTCGTCTCCAGAACCAGTCTCGTCTTCCTCTTCGGCAAACCATTCGGGTCGATAGTCGAACAGGTCGCGGCCGCTCATTCCGTTCACCTTGCCTGCCGCATTTTGGGTCTCTTTCGCCTTTTTCACTGCATCCTCTTCAGCTGCCTTCTTGTCTAGTCGTGTCCGCTTCCACTCTGCAAACGACTCAGGAGTCACTGGTGTCAGATTTGAGCCAAGCTTGTGTCTCTGAGAGCAATATTTTTGCATTAGTGACCATGATGTAAAGCGAGATAGGCACACACTTCGACTTCTAGGAACTCCTCTAATGAAATCTCATTGGCCTTGGCAGCTTCCTCCATAGCTTTCTTCTGTGACTTCAGAACAAAACCAGGGGGTAGAGCATGCCGATACATGCAGTCGTTTCCTGAGTGAATGAATGATTGAATACTTATTTACCAGCGGATAACGTGAAAGACATACCGTTCGGACATTCCCAGAACCATCCGAATTTACTTGTTTCGATTGCTTCAATGAAATACTTGCAGACGATATCTGTTGTAGTCCTCGGGTTTCCTGCCTTTGATAGTACAACCTTGCGTAGCTTTTCCTCGTCCCAGTTATCCATGGTGTCTTGTTATTCATAGTTAAAACATGAAAGAAGGAGCAAAGGAGAAACCGACCATTCTCCTTATCTTCTCGGGCGTCACTGTACAGATCCATCTTGTCCACCTTTCTAGCGATGTTCAGGTCATGGCTAAATTTGCATTTGTTCCCTTTATCACATGTTCCAGCTTTGTAATAGACGCAAAGGACCGTCTTGGGGTCTGGAACTGGATTAGCTTTGTTTTCTTGGT